CAGAGCTTCAATCTTGTCCAAGCCTCCACATTCTTCAATCATTATACTAAGCTTCTCAGTTTCACCTAGTTTCTCAGCAGCCTAAAAGAAAATCCCCAAGTTTACTGGCTTATACTCAGGACTTTTTTTGGCAGGCTCAGGCTGTCTTAACAGCGGGTGTGGTGGGCACGTGGAGCTGGGGATCGAACTGCTGTCTGGCCAGCCTGACTGGGTTTGCCCAGGCAGGCGCTTAAACAGAGCTAACCACCAAGTCCCCTTCTGGCTTATACTCAGAACATTCCCATTTTAATGAAAAAGATAAAATCCATGTTTGAGTAATAATATGTATGAGAAAAAATAAACATTTGGCCAGCTGAGGAGGTACATGTCTATAATTCCAACAACTGAAAGATTGAGGTAGGACTGCTGGGAGTTCTAGGCCAGCCTGAGCTACATGAGACCCCAAAATTCACGAAACAGTTTAATAATCTTGACTTATTTTACATATTGAGCTTTTCTTTTTGGGGGGTCTTTCTGAGGCAGTGTTTCACTATATAGTTCAGTCTGGCCTTGAACTCAGTAATCCTGCCTCGGCCTTCCTGTTGGGATTACAGGCAAGCTCTACCGTGGCTGGCCTCTTGAAATCTTCAAGATGATTAGCTCTGTTCCTTTCCTGTCAACCACTTTTATACTGAAGCTTCCATCCACACATCTTAAAAGTGCTTTTCAACCTTTCCCACACATTGTTAACACCTTAGAGGGGCCAGGGATGTAGCGCTTAGTGGCTTAGCCTTTAAGAGTCTGGGTTTGAGTCCCAGTACCATATCCACAAATCTCCTAGACAACCTGCCCCCTTAGGGGAAATAAACACAGTCCTCTACCACCACGAACTATGCACTTAGTTTCCTACATTTAGTAATCACAGCAGTCAGTGCATGCAGAGTACAGGCACTGGGCCTTATGCTGCTGATCTAACATATCCCCTGCCAGGCTCAGAATCGCCCACACTCTATTTAGGCTCAATTGTCTGCATTAAGACATCAATTTTTTTTTTTTCCCCAGTACCAGGGATTGACTCAGGAACCTGCGCTTGCCAG